TGAAAACAACAAATGCAGGTCAGGCAGCATCCATGGAGAGAGAGCAAGCTCATGTTTTGAGTCTAGATGACGCTTCATCAGAACTGAAGTGAAGGGTGGAGGAGGCAGTGGTGGAGTGTAGAGTGCTGGCGAGAAAAGATGTTGATAATTCAGATTAAGTGATCAGAATTTGAGAGAACCACCCCACCTCCCCTGCTATTGCATAAATGCTGCCCCTTCCACACTTCAGTTCTGATGAAAAGTCGTCTGGACTCAAAGCATTAGCCTGCCCTCTCTCCGTGGATACTGTCTGATCGGCTATGATCTCCAGTATTTGTTGTTTAAAGAAATGTTTAACTCAATACAAAACCAATTCATAATTGGGGTATAAAAGCTCCACTTCACAGAAAATAAGAACAGCCATGGACAATTAAAGTGATGAGGAACAGCCTAAAACTAAGAAAAAGGGCTTACAAAAAAAACACAGATCCTGCTGAATGGGAAAGATACAAAGACTAGCAAAGGGTCACAAAGCAGCTTATGGGAGCTACTAAAAGGGATTATGAAAGGAAACTTGCCATAGACATCAAAATCAATAAGAAGGAATTTTACACTGTAGCCACAAAAAGGGAAGGTGGGTGGTCAGGAGCAATGTTGGCTCACTAAAGACTGAAAGTAGGAGTATTGTCAAAGACTATGAGGAATGGGGTCTCATGTTGAGCAATTACTTTGCCTCAGTATTTACAGAAGAAAAGGAGGACAGCTTGCCAGATGTCCCAAAGAATTAATAGTTGATTGGGAACATGGTCTGAATAATATTAACGAGTAAAATATTGGTAATGAGGAAATTAATGGAATTAAAACATGACAAAACCCCAGAACCTGACGGTTTTATCCGAGGGTATTAAAGCAATTAGGGGCACATTGTAGACACCTAACTATAAATTTCCGGAGGGTCCCGACCCGAAACATCAACTTTCCTGCTCCTCTGATGCTGCCTGGCCTGCTGTGTTCCTCCAGCTCCATTCTGTGTGGTCAATATAAAATTACTCCTTTTATCCAAAACATTTCTACTTAAAAATAACATTATCTAGAATTTACAGTGCCAAAACATGACATTCTGTCCAACAGGTTTCTGCAGATATGAGATATGAAATGAGTGCTTTCAGTATTGGATCAGAAGAGAATTGAGTGACCTTAATATTACAGGCCAAGTTGGCAGTCTTGCAAGGGATGAAAATTCAGCATCTGTGAGGTCCAATCTCACACAATGAGTGTTATACTCTCCTGGACTGCTACCTGGATATACTTGAATAAAAATAAGATACTGTGGATACTGGAAATCTGAAACAAACACAAATGCTGGAGAAACTCAGCAGGTTTGGAAGACTTCCTGCTCAAAAGGACAGGGTGTGGTGGTGCTGGTGTTGGACTGGGGTGGACAAAGTCAGAAATCACATGACACCAGGTTATAGTCCATCAGGTTTATTTGAAATCACACAAGCTTTTGGAGTGTAGCGCTTTCATCAAGTGTGGTGAGAGAGCAGGCACACTGACCCATGGTTTACAAGCAGAGAGATGGAAAGATCATTTTACTGAGTGAGTGTCAGATGACAAGTCTCTGCAGGTGACCAGGAGTATTAGACAGTGAGTAAAGTGTCAACAGTTGAATAACCAGCGAAGGGATGACCTATAATCCGATTAAATGAGGCAGAGAGATAATTACAAAACATTATAAATAAGGTGGTGCTGCACTCTCAGGCTCTGCTTCGTCCCTCTACACGTTCTGCCTGCCTCCCACATTCACAGGCTGTCTGTAATTCACACAAGGTCACTTCACCCTGTCAAATAGTCTGTGTCACCATTCAATCCACTTTCCTCCGCACCTCAGTTTCATTTCTCCGTCTTTAAGCGGAGGGAGGAGGCGGGAGCGGATGAGTAAAGAGTGATGGTGCGTGCATTTTATGATGCCTTGACGGGAGGGTGTGGTTTATCCTCCTCTTCCTGTGCAAAAGGCCTGTGCACCGAATGGTGTGTCCTGAACGTCATATGGGCCGTTCAGACTGCGATTGGCTCCAAGAGTCTCACCAGACAGATTGTTTTGACCGCTTGCCCGTCTGCGCTGTATGAATAGTCCCATTGCAGGATGTGACCTAATGATTCCGCACATACAATGTAAAGCAACTGGCAACCTGAAAAGCGTTGCCTGCACCAAGTTCCCCCCCCGCCTTGTTTTCTACAGAAGCTTGGCATTTAATGGTGCTTAGTACTAGCGCTGCTCAAAACTGGACGGTAAGGTTTGTTTATCAGGCGAGATTTCACTGGAATGAGGTTTATTGCTTCAGAGTGATGAGTTGGTTATACTGTAACCCGGTGTGGCTGTGAGAAGTAAAATGTGTATTTATTTATCTTGTGTCGGTTCGGGGCGATAGGATGTGTTTGCCTGTAAAGCTTTCTTCCTGTTCAGGTTCCTGTTTGTACGGCTAGCTGTCTTATGTTTAAGGCCATCATTAGCCGAGAAAACGAAACTAACACATCAGGGCGAGCCTGTTTCTTTACCATGAACTCTTGAGATCATCTTCACTTACAAATCCACTGCCATTCTCAGTGGCTTAACATTTGGGATATCGCAGTGTTCAATGTTTATTGGTTTTGCTGTGTCGATAATTTCACAAAGTTTGGTATTTGGACAAGCTTCCCTGTTGTGTTTTAGTGTCACTCAAATGAAGTCATTTGATTTTACCTCTTCCGTTTGCTGTTCACCCCTACAGGGCCGTAGAAGCGCCGCCAATTTAGTGTAATTCCTGCCACTTGCCCTCCCCCATACCAAATGTCAAGGATCGAAGAAACTTGCTGGTCATGCAGTTGCACCCGGGTACATCCGTCTGAAAGCAACGGCACGCTGCTGGTGGCAAAGGTCTACGAGATGATGACCATCGTCAGCTCGATCCTGGGCAGTGCCTACTGCTCCCTGGTCAGCGGGCACACCATGAACTTAGTGCGGCGGGGCTTGGTGCTTTTCACCGTGGGAGTGTTTCTGGCTCTGGTGTTGAACCTGCTGCAGATCCAGAGGCACGTCACCCTGTTCCCCGAAGAGGTCATTGCCACAATTTTCTCCTCTGCCTGGTGGGTACCGCCTTGTTGTGGCACAGCGGCAGGTAAGCGCGGGGTATTGGGAGGGAGAGATCAATATGCCAATAAGTTTAGGCCTTTTACAGTGTTGACACTACAAAGTTGTTCAAGAGAATAACATGTGGCAGACTTCGTCCTCCATTCAATGAAAAAGGGGCACTCTTTAAAATATCAACAAGACCTGTTAAATAATTTTATTTAAAAAAAAAACTCTTGTACTATTAAAACGTCAACAAATTGTTATTAGACTTGAATTTGGAATACAAATGTTTTGAAAGCCTCGATAAAAGTTCTTAGGTTTTCAGTCTTTTTATTAAAAAACATTCCAATCCTATTATGTTCTTGCAATGGGCATCTGTCACCAAACCTTGTGATCTAATGAGTTGTAAGTACTAGAGCTGACAAACCCTTAAATCAATAACTTCTTGAATCTCTTTAACACTGAACATTTGGCATCTGTGTTCGACTGAAGCATGTGTTTGCCATTTTTCTCTCCAAACGCGGTAACATATCAACCTCTTTGTGTTGTGACACCGTAAATCCTCGATTCTTTCAGAAAATGTATCTCAACTTTGGTGTGAAACTTGCAGTAAAATTATAGTAACTCCCAACCTCTAAAGACAAAAATGTGGCTTAATTCGAACGATCCCCAAACCCTTTGCAACACACATAGCTCCCCGCTCACAATAAAGGACATTTTCAAAGAGGAAGTCAGTTTTTCTTTCATAAATTGTCAATTTTCGCGCCTTGAAATGGAAATAAAACAAGACTAGTTGACGTTGAAGTTCCAAAAGATATCTTCGCACTATAGGAAGATGCCAGTGTTTTTAACGCCGCTGATTCATTTCAATTGTATTCCTGAGGGAGGTTTTTCGCGCCACGTGTCGCTGGATTTGCATGAAATTGCAACAGTGCTGGAGGGGGCGGGGCCTTGGTGTGCAGAGCTGTTTCTTGATTGGCTCAGCTGGCAACGGGTGAGCTGGACTGCTCGCTCCTGATTGGTTGTCATGTGCAACATGCCACTTGGCTTTCTAAAATAAAATGCAGAATGAAAACAAGGAAATGAGGTGGCAGGACGCTGAGCGTGTGTCAAGAGTTTGTAATGCTGCTGAGTGCTCAACTTATTAACGTGGTGTGTTTTCCCTCCCCACCCCTTGTATTACACTGATGTTAGCATTCACCTGCTTTTAAATAGGCTCAACCCAATCTCTCGGCGCAATAGCAAGGAGACTACTCTTCAAAGGTAGCCAGAAAGGACTTACATTTTATGTAATACATTTCATTACCTGAGGGCTGTACAGCTCACATGATCGACCTTTGGAGTTTCTGCGGTGACTGTTTCTTGTAGAAGTGAAACTTCGTGCAACAAGGAACAGACATTGCTGGAGAAACTTAGGTCTGGCAGCATCTACGTAGGGAAAGCAGAGTCAATCCCTGAAGAAGGGTCACTGGACTGGAAATGTTAACTCTTGCTTTCTCTCCACAGATGTTGTAATACTTGTTGAGGTTCTGCAGCAGTTTCTGCTTCAAACCTTCAGCATCGACAGTTCTTTGTTTTGTTTTAGTGAACTTCAAGTATCTTGGTGACTGTTCTCAGTCCTGCTATTTGGAGATAATGTTCAGAAAGATGGGTTGTGTTTTTATGATGGTTAACACTGTTAGTCAGACATTGCCCACAACTACACCTCATTGAATATCAGAACAGGCTCAAGGGGCTGAAAGGCGCATCTCTGATTCTATGTTCTGTTGGGCTTATAGATTTAACTTGTTGCACAATGTCATTAGTTGAGCTCAGCAGTGACGTTGTTCATTGAAGCTGATCATTATAGTTTTATTTTCTAGAGAGGAATATAAAATGATGGAGTTACACAATTAGCATGCAAATTACTTAACATTTAGAGGAAAAAGCTCATCCCTAAACAGTGATCTATTCTGTCTGATGCTAATTTTTACATTGTCCATCTCCAGAATTTATTTTTGTTTTTATTTCCCTTTTAGCAACATTTTAACACACCAAACTATTGACAATTTTTATCCTATTCATGTAGTGAAAGGTAAATATTTTACCTTGCAGAAATCTGTAAGCATTTTAAGAAATCCATGACAGCTAGCTTTAAAGAATGTTCTTCTAGATGAAGTTTACAGTTGTAACTAATTTATCATCTAACCTTCCCTCAGCTGTGGTAGGTCTGCTGTATCCCTGCATTGACAGCCACCTTGGAGAGCCTCACAAGTTCAAAAGAGAGTGGGCAAGTGTCATGAGATGTGTAGCAGTTTTCGTTGGCATCAACCACGCAAGTGCCGTATCCTTCCAATTGTTAATGGGACAAAAATTATCCCCCCCAAATTATTATTTTTAGTGTAAAGTGGTGTCTTAATTTTGAAAAGGACAAAAACACTTGAGAAGGAAGTTACATTTCTCTTCTGCCTCCAACAGAACCTGGATATTACGACTTTCTAACAGGGAGATATCAAAGTGGATGAGAGTAAAGTTTGCTTAAATGTGAGAACCGTCAGGGAAATGAACTCATTACAAAGAAGTGAACTTTATAAGTGATAACAAACTAAAATGAAGAGAATTATGGATACCTGCTTGATTACTTCACTGCACTCACTATCTGAAAGATCAAAAATTGCTTGGTAGTACAGAACTTAAACATTGCTAAAAAGAGATAAAAAGTTGTACTTTTTCTTGTACTTACCAGCGCTGGCTGCAAGAAACAGACTTGAACATGGGATACTACGTAAATGCTGTACAAATTGGTGTCCCTTTTCTTTTGAGTTTTTCTTGTGGTCCTGATTAATGCAAAATGAAAAGTTTTAACTCAGCAGGTCTGGAACCATCTATGGAGAGAACATAAGAACTAGGAGCAGGAGTAGGCCATCCGGCCCCTCGAGCCTGCCCCACCATTCAATAAGATCATGGCTGATCTTTTTGAGACTCAGCTCCACTTACCCGTCTGCACACCATAACCCTTAATTTCTTTACTGTTCAAAAATTTATCTAGCCTTGCCTTAAACACATTCAGCAAGCTGGCTTCAACCACTTCAGTGGATAGGGAATTTCACAGATTCACAACCCTTTGGGTAAAGAAGTTCCTCCTGACCTCAGCCGTACATCTGCTTCCCTTTAGTTTGAGGCTATGCCCCCTAGTCCTAGTTTCACCCGCTAGTGGAAACAACCTCCCTGTCTCCACCTTATCTATTCCCTTCATAATCTGATATGTTTCTAAAAGATCTCTCCTCATTCTTCTGAATTCCAATGAGTATAATCTCAGCCTACTCAGTCTCTCCTCATAATCCAACCCTCTCAACTCTGGAATCAACCAAGTGAATCTCCTCTGCACCCCCTCCAGTGCTAGTATATCCCTTCTCAAGTAAGGAGACCAAAACTGCACACAGTACTCCAGGTGTGGCCTCACCAGGACCCTACACAGCTGCAGCATAGCCTCCCTGTTTTTAAACTCCATCCTATGGAGAGAAAGCAGAGTTAATGTTTCAGGTCCCATGACTTCAGAACTTGATGCTCCAAATTTGATATTCTGAAGAAGGGTCATTGCACGTGAAACATTAACCCCGCTTTCTCTTCATAGATGGTTCCAGACCTGCTGAGTTACGACGTTTCATTTTGCATTAAATGACTCGAAACATTAACTCTGCTTTTTCTCCATAGATGCTGCCAGAGTTTCTCCAGAAATTTCTGTTCTTGTTTGTTTTAGATCCCCAGCATCTGCAGTTCTTTATTTTGTTCTGAGGACCTATTTGTTAGGAGGCAAAGTATCCCTTGGAACTGTTCTCAGAGAGGGAATTAGTTAGTATTTGGACTGGCATTTATCTCTCTGCCGACAACAACTTGCATTTATGTGACACCTTTAGCGTAGAAAAAAAAATCCAAAGGCACTTCAAAGCTTTTTGTTAAACAGAACTTGGCACTGAGCCATGTAAGCCAATATTCAGATGGATGACCTAGAGCTTGGTGAAAGATTAATTAAGAAATTGAATTTAGCTTAAAAAAAATTAAACAGACTAACTGGTCATTGACCTTATCTGATACATTTAGGATTTGGCTGTAAAGTGCTTTGAGGTAGCATGAAAGACTCTATAAATGCAGGTTTTTTACTGCACTCTTGCAACTGTGGTGAACTTCGGGTTGTTGCTGTTGCAAACAAAAACAGAAATTGCTGGAGAAACTCGGTAGGTCTGGCAGCGTCTGTGGAGAGAAAGCAGAGTTAACAGTTTGGAGTCCAGCAACCAATCTTCAGAACTGATAGCAGCTAGGGAAAGATGGTTTTTATTGCTGATGACAGGGGAAGGTGGCAGGGAGAAGGAGTGATCAGATCGGTAGAGAGGGAACCCAGAGAAAGAAAAGATAGGTAGACAAATGGCTTGTTAGTAGTAAGCCAGGAAAGAAGAGAAGCAAGATGGGTAATAATGGGGGCTATGTGTAGTTATTAAATTGGTTGATTGTGCTGAAAGCAACTTGTGTCAATACAGGACTGGAGGAATGGAGGTCGGTGATAGACGTGGAAGGAGGTGTTCATGTTCTAAAATTAGTAAACGCCATGTTAAGTCGTGAAGGCTGTGAGGTCTTTATGCAAAAGATGAGATGTTATTCTTCCAGTATGCGCTGAGCTTCACTGGAGCGCTGCAGCAGGAAACTACAGCTGGCATGGGAGCATTGTGATGTGTTAACAGGTCGGGCAACTGGAGGCTCAGGGTCATTTTAGCGGACGGACATATTGTTCCACAAAACAGTCACCCATCTGCATTTTGTCTCCCCAGTGTGGAGAAAACCACATTCTGAGCGGCGAATTCAGTTGACTAGATTGAATGAAGTGCAGATAAGTCGCTGCTTCATCTGGAAGTTGTGTCTGGAGTGAGGGCAGAGGAAGTAAATAGGCAAGTGTTGCACTTTCCGTGATTGCATGGGAAGGTGCCGTGGGGGTACGTGGAGGTGGTGGGAGCAGAGGGGGAGTTGATCTAAGTGTCCCAGAGGGAATGGACCCTGTGGAATATTAACAAGGGAGGTGATGGGAATATGTGGCATCCCACTAGAGGTGGCAAAAAAGGCGGCTAATGATCCTTTGGACACAGAGGCTGTTGGAGTGGAAAATGAGGACCAGGGGACTCTGGTTGTTGTGGGAGGAAAGAGAAGGGGTGAGGGCAGAAGTGAGGGAAAAGGGTCAGACATGGTTGACAATAGTGGGGAACCTTGGTTGAGGAAAAAAGTGGGCATTTCTGAAGCGTCCCTTGCAAGCAGGTAGCAACATCAGGACAGATGGATCACAGGACTCGAAACATTAATCCTGTTTTCTCTCCACAGATACTGCTGAATTTCTCCAGCACTTCGTGTTTTTATTTGTTTCAGATGCCCCAGCATCACAGTTCTTTGTTTTATTTTAATGCTGTTGGAAAAACTCCTTTGTTCCTTTGATTTCCAAAAAATGCTAAAATAATAATGCAGTGTCACCCACTGTGAACTGCTGTTACTTTAGTTACATTATCAAACAATAGTGGTATCCAGGCTGATTCCACTACCATCTGTCAGATTCCTGCCATATCATTACTAGTGCCCACTATCTTCATACACCCTTTTAACACACTAAAAGTGATTGCAACAAATTCAGTAGAAATTACCAACCTTGAATGTACAAAAAAATTTTTTATTTTAAGTGAGCACAGGTTCTTTTTCCCTGGCAAGAAAAAATGAAATTTAAAGAGTCACCATCTGGAATGGAAGATAGTTCAGCCAATCCTGATCTCCCAGTGACTCATCAGTTCCGCCTCCAACTCCTCATTTATGTTTAAAACGCAACAATTTGCCAACCCTAACCTGGTTTTCATGTTGGACTCTCCAAATTTCATCATTTATTTCATTCCATTTTGAGGCCTGATTTGCCTTACCCGTTGCCCTTCAGAACCTAATTTTGACTTTTGTTTAATTGACGGAGCTCTTTTCCACCATTTAATGTTCAATATCTCATTTTAAACCCCATTAGTTTTGTAAAACTAAGACACTAATTTGAGTATCTCCCTCTTTATCCCCATGGTCCTAGCATTATATTGGTCAGCCCACATACAGGTCCATCCCACCTACTCTCAGTTGCTTACTTATGGGCACAAGGTTGCAAAATACTACACTTAAGAACATTTAAAATTGTCTTAAAAATTTAAGGCACTTGGTACAGAAATGGTGAAAATCAGTGACAGGGTTAAAGGAGTGGATCAGAAATCAATCCACAAAAGTTTTTATTTTGTGTGTAACACTAAGACACAGAAAACAAGTGAAAGAGAGAGGGTTGCATCTACATAGCACCTATCATAGTTTCAAGATATTGCAAAGTACTTTATAGTTTTTGAGGTACCTTTTTGAAGTACCATTGTTGAAATGTGAGAAACACAGCAGCCAATTTTGTATAGAGCAAGCTCCCACATGTTCAACAATATGACAAAGGCCAGATAGTCTGTTTTGGCGATGTTTATCCATTAATAAACATTAGTAAGGCCACTGCGGACTAGCACCCCACTCTTTTTTAAATAGTGTGATGGGATCTTTCTAAATTCGCCAGAGATGCTGGACAGGCTTAACGTCACATCTGGAAGAAGGCACTTCCAACAGGACAGTACCCATTCACCACTGAGCCACAGATTTCTACTATGGGTAGATGTAAAAATTGCTCTCTGAGAATTGACTCATTGTAACAGATCAAAAGCTAATTCTAATTATCACCAAGTGTAGCCCTATTTCTTCAACCTTTCAAGTTCCACTGCACATCACAGATTATGCACTTTATATCATCAGAGGAATTATTTGATTGAATTCAGGACCTTAAACTTATTGTCAGATTTATCTCCTCATACACACGAGGCTGAAGAATTCAACTGAATTTTGGTGCAGGCGTTATGCATTATGAGGTGCCTTATGGATCTGTTGCATTTTATAATCGAAGATCACTTCCGGTTCTTTCCTTAACACCTGCTTAACCAGAAATTGGACTTTGCCAATAACATGCAATTGTCTTTGACCCTGGCAGCCCTCTCATTGGGTCTCTGGTGGACATTTGATCGCTCTCGAAGTGGATTTGGACTTGGCCTTACGATAGCCTTTGTAGCAACCTTGGTCACTCAACTATTGGTGTATAATGGCGTTTACCAGTAAGTGCAAAACGTTTGATTTATAACTTTGATTTTTGCAATCCCATGTCTGGTCACACCACCTAGCCCTGCCAGAATTGGATGTTAGGAACATACATTAATGTAACAAGTGTCAACATGGCATTTACAGGGGGAATGGTCTTGGAAAGTACCAAAAGCAGCCTGTAGCAAATTATCTATATTTCTTTACATAAGTACAACATTCAAGGTGGAGGAAAAGCACCGGGGATCCCAAATGTGAAAATCAGCCAAGATTGGCATTCTGATTCAGTTCTGGTGCTGTGTTGAACCTGATCAGTACTGTAACGAAGTGCTTTCAACCATTCCAGGGCTCATTTGTTGATATCACAGAGGTCCATGAGATTTTATGCAACAATAATTCAGTTTATTTCACTTGTTTTTGGAATACTTCATTATGGTCATGTTAAGTTGCAACGTCCACATAAGTTTTCCTCCTGTATCTATTATGAAATTCATCCACTAGCTACTCCCCCTCCTACAGCTCCTAATTGGTGTATATCATCCCTAATCCTGTTCAGTGTCCAAGCAGCTGGACATTAGTACCCCCAGTCTGTTTAACCATTCTGCAGTTAGGTAGGTGGATTTTTCTCTTCTTTCCCTCAGTTCACGCTTGGATAGGGGAGGCAGTTTTGTGGGGAGTGAAGATGCTGGCTACTAAATCAGGAACTGGGTGCTTGCTCTCCTGGTATGAGGCATGAAGCTGGGCATGGCCAGTTGCTGAGTAAACAATGTGACACGGAGCCCAGAGCCTTAGAATAAGATGCCACTGAAACCCCATGTCTGGCTCCAAATCACTGATGAACTAGTTGTGTCAGCAAGAGTGCTGGTGGCATTACAATGAACCTGTGATTCTCAGCACTCTGTGTTCCTGTCCCGCATTGGCCACTATCTGTGGGCCTGATCTCCCCACTTGCTCCTCTGCTTCCTCTTTCGGAAGGGCATGGCTCAGTGGTCAGCAATGCTGCCTCACAGCGCCAGGGACCTGGGTTCAATTTCACCCTCAGCTGTCCATTGGTGTGGAGTTTGCACAATCTCCCCATGTCTACGTGGGTTTCGTCTGGGAGCTTTAGTTTCCTTCTACAGCCCAAAGATGTGCAGTCTAGGTGGGTTGGCCATGCTAAATTGCCTATAGTGTCCAGGGATGTGCAGGCTAGGTGGGTTACCCATGGGAAATGCAGGATTATAGGGATAGGGCAGGGGGATGGGTTTGAGTGGGATGCTCTTTGGAGGGTTAGTGTGTACTCAATGGGCTGAATGGCGTGGTTCTACTCTAGGATTCTATGATTGAGTGCACAGAGCCGTGACATCTCCTAGATTCATATATCTGAGATCTACATCATGGAGAATGATGATCCTGACACTGGAGTTTGAGTCGCCTAGAAGTTTGTTGCCAGAGAAAAGTGGAATTTATAGAAAGCTGCTGACCGCTGTTTTAATTTTTGGCAAGTCGAGGTGACTTATCATCAGCCACTGCTAGGTACTGTGCAGAGATAAAGATTGTGGGTGTGCAGTGTGTGTCTAATGAGGACATGATCCCAGAATCACTCACCCATGAACGGTAACAGCATTGTCTGGATCAATAGTATTGTGAACATTCATGCAGCAAGCCTGGAAGTAAGAGAAGTATGTTTCATTATCGATCTAGGTACACCTCACCAGATTTCCTGTACATTCGCTCTTGGCTGCCATGTATATTCTTCTCCGGAGGAGTGACTGTCGGAAATATCGGAAGACAGCTGGCCATGGTAAGCTGTCTCTTTGAAACTGAATCTGATCATTCTCATCTGCGTGGGTTCTGAAGTTGCCAATTTTTCTCTGCGTTTGCTCCTGTTAAGCATCTTTGAATGTTTTACTCCATTAACAGAGACAGGAAAAAAAAGACTTGTGTTCATATATTACCAAACATCCAAATGCTTTGCAACCAGCTCAGTGCTTTTAGAACATAAGACATTGGAGTAGAAATAAGCTGTTTGGCCCATCAAGTCTCTGACACTATTCAATCATGGCTAATGCTTCTCATCCCTATTCTTCTGCCTTCTGCCCGTAGCTTTGATCCCCTTATCTCTGTCTACGAAGTGCTGTCTCTGTTGTGATGAAGGAAGTTCTTCACACAGCAGTATCCCATGACAAGCAATGAAATAGTGACCACATAATCTGGTTTTGGTGATTTGGTTGAGGGATAAATAAAACTAGGACACTTGGGATAACTTCCTTGCTCTTCCAACATCATAGATTCATACAGCGCAGAAAAAGCGCTTCGGCCCATCAGTTCTGTGCTGACATAACTACCACTAAAAGTTGCCAATCCCAATTTCCTGCACTCATCCCATTATCCTTGCATGTTATGATATTTGAAGTGCTCATCCAAAAGGTTTTTGCCAGGTTTCCACCTCCACTACTTTCCCAGGCAGTGCATTCCAGGTTCCCAACACCTGCTGAGTGAAAAAGTTTATTCCCAAATCCCCTCTAAATCTTCTGCCAATTACCCTAAAACTATGCTGTCTCGTGATTGACCCCTTGACTAAGGGGAACAGCTGCTCTCTATTCACCCTGTCCATACCCCTGATAATCTTTTACCCCTCAATCATGTTCCCCCTCAGTCTTCTCTGCTCTGAAGAAAACAATCCGACCCTATCTGGTCTCTCCTTATAGATCACTTACACCCACCTGAGCAGGTAGATAGGGCCTCTCTCACCTGAGAGAAAGCACCCCATATAGTACAACACATTCAGTGCTGCACTGTAGTATCAGTCCTGAATTTTGTGGAGTGAGACTTGAACCTGATTGTGAGTCAAAGGTGAGAGTGCTCTCCACTGAGCCACGGCTGACACACAACTCCATCTCAAGGTGCAAGTTGTTGCTGATTGTTTCTGTTAGGCAGAAGTGCTAAGGCTTACAGAACGTGGCAAATAAATGGGGTTATGAAACGGGTTAGCTATGATCTAATTTTAGGGCACAAGGGGCTGAATGGCTTCCTATTCCAAGACAGAGGATGGGGAAAAAGTTGTGGCCGTAAGAGCTGCTCGTCTTCTTAGGTATTTTCAGTGTTGGAGCTGATTTCCTCAAATTCTTGGAGCTGTAATTACAGTTTTACAAGCTGTTGCATTATTTTGGAGCTTTGGGGGGAAAAAAAGAGATCAAAACAACAGCACTTTTTAAAAAAAAAAAAAAAAAAAATAGGGGAGACCGAGCAAGTGGGGGAGGTGGAAAAGAAATGGAGCAGTAAACTGCTTGGTTGGAAGAATGCACTGCCAGCGGTGGTAGTGGAGTCAGATACATCAGAGACATTTAAGCGACTCTTGGATAGGCAGATGGATGACAGTAAAGTGAAGGATATGCAGGTTAGTTTGATCTTAGAGTAGGATAATAGGTCGGCACAACATCATGGGCTAAAGGGCCTGACTGTGCTGTACTGTTCTATGTTCTACACCTGCACAGCTGACTGCCTCTGCTCTGGACACTCCAGGTGGTTGGAAGAAAAATAAACAAACAGCAAAATTGACAGCTGACGTTAGAGAAACATGTAAGTGTAGCTCACAGCAGGGGAGTAGCTAAGTGGCTTTTAAGGTGAGAGGGGCAAGTTAAAAGGGGCCTAAGGGACAACTTTTTCACACAGGGTGGTGTGCGTGTGTGTGGAATGAGCTACCAGAGGAAGTGGTGGAGGCTGGTACAATTACAGTATTTAATAGGCATCTGGATGGTGGCATGAATTGGAAGGGTTTAGAGGGACATGAGCCAAATGCTGGCAAATGGGACTAGATTAATTTAAGATATCTGGTTGGCATGGATGAGTTGGATTGAAGGGTCTGTTTCCATGCTGTACATCTCTATGACTATGTCCCCATGATCCAATGTGTACTTTGTATGTTGTATACTGCCACAGAGTTCCTCTTCAAAGTGATGCTGTATTTGTGTTGCATTACTTCGCTGATGGAGATGTTGTATAAACAAGGCAGGACTACAGTGTAAGGAGTAGCTCAGTAGGTGGCTGTGCCAAAAGTACAACATCCCCATCAACCAATGTAAACAGCTAGCAGCCCTGTCAGTGCTGGCTATGATGTATATATTTTTTTGTTTTCCCCATTTACTCAGGCAGCCCACCCGTAATATCTGCTTCACTGCTGTGTGTTGATCTTCTTTGAAAAGTGTCACAAATCCTTTTTCAAAATTGGCTTTCTAAAACCACCGCATTGCCCAGTTTTCGATGTCTGGGTCCTTTCCTTTGCTAGTGACAAAGCAGGGATGAGCCGCAGGGGCTGAGCTCCAACTTCGTGAAATCTTCCAGTACAGAACCAGGCCATTCAGCCCATCATGCCTATTCTTGTTCTTTGAAGGAATTGCCCGACTTAGTCTCCATTCGCCTGTCCTTTCTCCATAATCTTGCAAACTTACTTTTTCAAGTATATATCCAGCTGGACATGAAAGGAAGCAACTAAGAGAGGATTTCATTGACAAGATGGTAAATTGTGTAGAGTTGGTAAAATGTGACTGGTGGGACAAGAGGAATAAAGTTTCCCCATGAAGACTGATTATTGCATTGTCATAGAATTATGTATGAACAGGCAAGCAATGCTAATCGGCAACTGCCTGATCAGATCAGAAAATTCCAGGGAATCTGCTGCAATATATCTGGTGTATTTCCTTACCGTGGTTACATGCTTGCAAAATTATCTCCAAGGAGTTTCAATGGAGCAAAGCAACCAAAATCTGTGGAGTCATTCCATAAGCATTGTGCTCTTGTGACTCTAAAGAAGGTCTTTAGATTTTTTCTTTTCCACATTGATGATTTGAGAACAATTTGCATTTGTAACTGCAGGCTGTCTCAAATTGCTGTACAGTTGAGGTTAGTATTTTTTTTGGAGAGGTCACGATTATAATACAAGGAAAGTGGCAGCCATTATGTGCAAAGCATAATCTCACAGAAATCAATGAAATGTATGATGGATATCTTTTTCATTTGGTGCAGTTGAATGAGGAGGAAATAATTCTTTGCCCTTCAGAAATAATGTTATGAATCTTTTATACCACCTAAGGGGTGTAAACAAAGCCGTATTCATAAAGTAAGTGAAGTATTCATCTCGTACCACTCGAGTGACAGCCTTGATTTTTAGCTTAACTCTTAGAGTGAGGCTGAAGCCTACAATCTCATGACTCGGAGAAGCAAGAGTGCTCCTAGCAGACCCCCTTTCCGACTCTTAATCAGGGAAAATGTCTCCCATGGTTTTGTTCTGTAGATCACCTCGGGTTATAATCTGACTCTCTCATAGTCATACAGCACAGAAATAGACCCTTTGGTCCAACCGGTCCGTGCCGAACGTAATCCCAAACTAAATTAGTCCCACCTGCCTGCTCCTGGTCCACATCCCTCCAAACTTTTCCTGTTCATGTACATACCCAAATGTCTTTTGAACATTGTAATTGTACCCACGTTCACCACTTCGTCAGCAAGTTCATTCCACACATGAACTACCCTCTATGTAAATCTCTCTCCACTCCCCTTAAAAATGTGTCCCCGAGTCTTAAAGTCCCCTTTCCTAAGGAAAAGACAACTACCATTAGCTCTATCTGTACCCTTCAATGTTTTATAAACTTCTATCAGGTTGCCTGTCAACCTCCTATGCTCCAATGAAAAAAGTCCCAGCCTGTTCAGCCTTTCTTTATATCTCAATATCAATATCCTTTTTATTGTCACATATGCCCTATGGTGGGAGTACAATGAAAAACTTTTACAATGTCTGTCTGCCGCCTTATGGAGGCATCTTAGGTACAAGTACCAAGCTACAATTCTTGGATACAGCAGAGGGATAAAAGTAGTTGCTTAATTACAGAGTTGAAAACAAGTTGGAAATAGGATGACATTAAGGGATTAACATTACAGAGTTCTAAGGTTAAGGATTGTCCCCTCGCACCGGTCTCTGTCCGGGACTCTCTGCCTGCATGCTGCTCTGGGACCTGCTTCCCATGTCCTGCTCCGGGCTCTCAGCCCATGTGCTACTCGAGGGCTCCCTGCTCACAGTGTTCTGGGACTCATGGGGCATGCCTACAGGCTCCAGAGCACAAGGCCACGGTGCTCACTTCTGTTCTCTGCGAGTCTCGGCCCGCCTGCTCCAGTCCTCCACACTCTGGGGGTTGGGGGCGGGGCGGAGGTGCGGTGTAGAGCAAGAAGGGAAAGGAGTAAAGGATCTGGTGAGCAGAAGAGCTCCAACCAGAGCTTCCTACTCAGCCGCCATCTTGGATTGTTTCCATACCCAGCAACATCCTGGTAAATCCCTTCTGAACCCTCTCCAGCTTAATAATATCCTTCCTATAACTGGCTGACCAGAACTGGACACAGTATTCCAGAACAGGCCTCATCAATATCCTGTACAAGCTCAACATGACTTCCCAACTCCTGTACTCAAAGGACTGAGCAATGAAGTTAAGTGTGCCAAATGCCTTTTTAATCAACTTGTCTATATATGACAAAAACTTCAAAGATTTATGTACCTGAACCCCTAGGTCTCTCTGTTCTACAACACTACCCAATGCCCTACTATTAAGCCATGTCAAGCTGATTGGCAGTCTTATTTAAGAAGATGTTTGACTTGTTTAAATCAATCCTTAATTTAAAGCACACACATTTAACTGCAACCAAAACAGTGAAGGTTTGAAATAAACCTGCTGACAACTGCACAATTTATTTTTAGCTAACATTTGTCAAAGGCACTGTATGGGAGTTCTTAACTGCCATTGTGAAACTTGCCAAGTTCAGCAATTGTCAAATCATCCGAAGCAAATACTCTATTTTTGCTTTCAATCATGAAGTTAAGCCTTAGAAATAAAATCTCAAAATAGACATGGAGCAAGGCTGCTTGTCAAATGCATGAGCTTCATGGATTTCTTTTGCCTTGTAGAGGGATACAATAATTCGCTGCAACAGGAGATCACAATACACAGAGAATCATAGAATAGAACCCCTACAGTGTGGAAGCAGGCCATTTGGCCCATCAACTATCCAAAGAGTATCCCTCCCAGACCCACCCATCACCCCCCCCCCACCCTATAACCCTGCTTTTCCCATGGCCAATCCACCAAATCTGCACGTCTTTGGACTGTGGGAGGAAACTGGAGCACCTGGAGGAAACCCACGCAGACATGGGAAGAGTGTGCAAACTCCACTCAGACGGTCACCTGGGGCTGGAATTGAGCCCGGGTCCCTGGGCAATGGCAGAGCAGTTAGCCCTTTCACCTTTTCTGCCATTCTCATGGCCAGTCTGTGATTGGATTCCATAACCTTTGCTCCAGATCCCTAAATACCTAGGTCTAACAAAAACTTAATCCATCTCTGTTTTAAAATCAATAATTGATCAAACACCAATCGTCATTTACTGAAGAGTGTCAAACTCCAAGATCCTTTACTCAAAGATGTGTTGCCTCATTTCACTCCAGAATTTGTACTCTATGCCCCGTCAGCCTAGATTCACGAATTAAACTTCAATCAAATCACTTCTTAATGATCGAAAATTCAGAAAATGTAACCCCAGCTTATTTATTGCTTTCACATAACTGTATTAGTTTTATTCATTCATCATGCTGCCCTGGTAAAATGGAATTGTTTATAGCTGCATTGAGCACCTAAGTAAGTTGAAAAGAAAGGACCTAAGATCACACAGAATAGTTATCAGTTCGCGTTTCTGTAAGAGTAGAGTTGAGGAAGAAACTCTTCAATCCTAGAGTTGAATCCAGGCAAGTTCACGTGGCTGAGGTCAGAATTTAAGGAGCCACTTATAAAAAAAGACTGTGCAGCAGGTCTTATAGGCAGTCCGCTGATAGCTGTTATAACCAGAGGACCAATTTCTGTGTAAGGAAACTCGGAGGTTTTGAAATCTGGCTCAAGGAAGCTGTTAGAGGACTTTAGTTCTCACATTTCTAGAAAAGTAAGAAGGTGTTACAGGCTTGTTTCAGCATCTCGTTAATGTTCCTTTGTAAACTCTGTGATAGCAGACAGGTTTTATAATAAAAAGGATTTCAAAGCCATTGTAGTTTCAATCACATGAGCGTGGATACAGAGTGGGATCTCATTGATCATCTTTCACAGTCATGAAGTACGTTCAATCAGGTGGCCAAAGGCCATTGATACAGAAGAAAGTAGGTAGAGGATTTTCACACTTCATTATGGGTGAGCAGCCTTGACAGCTCTCCTTCGATAGTCAAGCAGACAAGCGTTGTGAAGTCCAGGATTTATTGTTCCTGTGATTGGTGTGTGTTTTGAAGAATCTTTCATTTTCAAAAGTCAGCTGGCCACGTGGCAGCCATCTCACAGTCCCTCTGAGTCCCATTTTTAAAAATCTGTCATACCTTTATCCCTGCATAGTTTTGACAAGATTTATTCCTGGAAGCTAAATATTATATATAGATTGTGACAGCTCCAAATAAAATATAACAACAGAGCAGTATTTGAGCTGTCTATCCTTCCATCCCTCCATTCTACCTATTTTTGTTCTAACCATTACTCTCTTTTTGGTCAATCTTTCTGGAATTGGTAGCCTTGGTCAACAAGTTCATCCAGTTGTACAGCTGTGCCAGAAGAACAGCAAAAGGCCATTTACTTGCCTTTGGCAGGCCCTTAGTAAACAAAGCAAGCTACACACTGGAGTCTTGAAAACTTCAATAATCCCAGCATGCTCAGTCAGAGAATTCCAAATTGCAATATTTCTTTGTGTGCAAAAAGGCTAACTGATTTCCCTCTTAAATTATCAAGCTTTAGAGTCATAGCGTCAAAAATCATGGAAACCGACCCTTCAGAACAACCAGTTAATGCCAAACGTACCTCAAATGAAATTAGTCCCACCTGTCTGCTCCTGCCTCATCCCTCCAAACCTTTCCTATTCATGTACTTATCGAAGTGTCTTTTAAACTGTGCAACTGTTGTAACTGTGCCCTAATCTACCACTTCCTCTGAAAGTTCATTCCACACACGAAACACCCTCTGTATGAAAAATTTGCTCCTCATGTCGTCTTGAAATCTCTCTCCTCTCACCTTAAAAATATGCCCCCTAGTATTGAAATTCCCCATCCTAGGAAAAAGGCACCTACTATTGACCCTACCTGTACACCTCATGATTTCATAAACCTCTACCTCCTAATTTAAAGGCCTGCATTTGTACAGCAGCTCAGTATGATTTCATCTCATCTCATCACCTTGCAGCCAATAAAATACTTGTTTGTGCTTACTGTTGTAATGTAGGAAATGCAATATCTTCCTTTGACCCTTCTCCTATCCCAGTTTGCACAAAGCAACCTTCCATGAACAAAAATGGGATGATGACCTGATAATCTGTTCTTTCTGATGCTGATTGACAGCACAGGGTGACAATCCCCAAGCATTTTTTTATGGCCTCCTGAGAGGCAGGTGGTGATCTCACTTTAACTTCCTATCCAAAAGCTGGCACTCCTTACAGTGCAGCACCCCCTCAGTACCACACTAGAATGTCAGCTTAGGATTCTGAGCCTGATCTTTGGAGTGAGAGAGCTAACCAACTGAGCTACAGTTAAGAAAGAGATGGTGTCCCCTGTTTTTAGTCACCATGATGGAAGGAAAGAGTTTTTTCTGTACCTCTGCTTTCACATTCTTTAATAACTTTAATCAAAGCATCCTAAGATGGATTCATTTTGAATTTATATGACAATTAAAATGTCCCAAGGCAATTTACAGCAGCATTATTCATCAACGTTTGACACTGAGCCACATAAGGAGGGCAAATAACCAAAGCTTTAGTCAAAGTTGTAGGTTTTAAAGGGAGAGGAACAAGAGGAGAGTTTTGACGAGCGTATTCCAAGGTTTCCAGTCTAGACAACTGTTTGAATGCATTACGCCAAACAAGCTGCCTCCCTAAAGATATAGGGCTGTATTTTCATATGGCCATTTTTTTATGTACAGCTGACAAGAAATGATTAGGGTGACCTTGTAGAGGTTTATAAAATCATGAGGGGCATAGGTAAGATGAATAGCCAAGGTCTTTTCTCCAGAATAGGGGAGTCCAAAACTCGAGGGCCTAGGTTAAGGTGGGAGGGGGAAGATTTAAAAGGGATCTGAGGGGCAACGTTTTTGGAAATGATCTGCCAGATGAAGTGGTGGATGCAGGTACAGTTGCAACATTCAAGAGAGATTTGGATAGATACATGAATAGGAAAGGTTTAGAAGGATATGGGCCAAGTGCAGGCAAATGGGTCTAATTTAGTTTGGGAAATTTGGTCAGCATGGTTGAGTTGGACCGAAGGGTCTATCTCTGTGCTGTACAATTGTATCTGAAAAGCATAACCTTCAGTCTGAAAACAAAATATTTCTTTTTCAAGTTTGCAACTTGTATTCTTCATCTTATGTTTTAATGTTTCATATTACCAATTTCAAAAATTGTTTTTAACAAATGTAACACAGTGTACCTTCCTGAGTGCATCTTGCCTTGTTTGCAAGTTCTTTTGTCTGAGTTAAGGCTCACGTCTGGTATTTGAGCATATCACACAAACTGACATTTCATTACAGTATGAAGGAGGTGCTGCACCTATGTCTTGTTCAATTGTCATAATAAATCCACTGACACTGTTTGAAAAGCAGTGAGGAAGTTCTCCCAGCTCAGCCAACACCATTACAATAGATTAGCCACTCATCTCATTGTCCTGTTTGTGATTGGTTGCCACGTTCAAGCCAACAAAGCAAAAATGATTACAATTCAAAAGTCAACTAGGAAGTATTTTGGAGTGAACCGAAGAGGATGCGAAAGGTGCTATGTAAATGCTTGTTCTTTCTCATGAAAGGATCATTTGTTTAATTCTTTCATGAAATGTGAGGGCCATTGGCTAAGTGGCCAGCACTTGTTACCCATTCTTAAATACCCTGGTGAATCTGGTGATGTGATGGCCCAGTGGTCATGAAAGATGCTACGTGAATGAAAGTCTTTTCTCTCCTACGTTTCAGCAGAATCTGGCAAGAGAGAAAGTAATTGAAAGACTTTTTTGAGATGAAGTCAATAAAGTGGTGAAGGCTCATCCGGAATATAACCACTAATTAGGCTGAATGACCTATTTGTTAATCTAAATTCTGTGTAATTATAAGAGTCAAATTATAGGTTTCAAAATGAGAAAATTAATAGGAATAGGCTGTCAAATAAAAGAATGATGAGATGTAAAGAAGAGAGCCACACCTGAATCATCTAACCTGTTCGTCAGTTTCACACCTGCTATACATTTTTTTTTCTAATATTTGTTTTATTTTGAAATGCTAAATGCCGTCTAATCTCATGTGGAGTTCTGTGTGTGGTGTTTTTATCCTTTTTTTTTTTGCTCCTTTTCTGTTTCCGTAGGGAGTTTCTGAAATTGCACACAAGGATTGCCTTGAGAAGATGCACAAGGATTGAGTGTTAGCCATGAGGAATGATAATGGTGCCAATGTAGATACTTCGTGTGGGAGTGCACATATATACACTGGGGAGACGAGTAGGTGCTATATATGATGGAGGATGTGATTACTGCATGATATTCATAAAAGGGAAAATTTTGCAATCTGTGATTGCCTTTGTACAATTAATTTGTTTCTCAACATTGAAGATATTTCTGTTGCAATCTGTACATACCAGGTCTACTAAGTGTAATCATTTAGTCTGTGTATGAACTGCAAGGCCATTACTCTGTTGCTACAGCAGACCTAAGTAGCAAGTATTAGATCTGCTTGATGAAAGTGCAATGTTCACAGTACCTGAGTCTCGTTGTATAACTGCACCCTATTTATTTTCTTTTCTCCGGTTCATTTGTATAATATACAATGTGCGCGTGTCGGGGAAGGGGTTGTGGGTTGGGGTGTCCATCTCTTTGTCTGGCGTGATTAGAATTGGAAACAGAGATGTTCTGTCTTTTTTTTTTTCCCTCCAGCCTGTTATTCAGTCCCTGCGAGTGATGATAAGTGTTCATCAGAGTTTAGCTGCTGTGTCACAGTGTGTATTTGTACAGTGGAGATATATAATCCTAAGGGACGTACACAGTGCTGAACAGAAGGAAGTGAACTCTCTCTCCCTCAAGCTCGAAGTCTCCACTTGAATCTATATTGAGACAGTCACACAGTGAAGCAGCGCTTTATCACTTGACCAATGAAGTGCAGTGAAGCAGCGCTTTACCACTTGACCAATGCAGTGCAATAAAGCAGTGACAGAATACTTCCATGCTTTGGGCTTCGTCAGCCTGGAGCTGTCACTGCTGCGAGAGTGAAGTGATTTTATTTTGTTTGGTTTTTGCAGTGTTAGTGTTTCCGATCTGATCCAATCAGCGCATTTTCTCACCTGTCGATAAGATGATTCATCAGATTTTTGTGATTTAAATGTTTTTTTTTCCTTCTTTCACTGTTCCCAATAAAAATGTACAGTAATTGTCAAATGGCTACATTTTCTCAAACAAAAAGCAGCAACTAAAAGTTGTTGGTCGTCTGAAAACTATCGAGCATTGTTGACTTGAAAGCAATGATTTTTCCCACCACCAGGTTACGTGCTGGAAGTCATGTAAATTAAACTTGCATTGTAGATGTGCTTTCCAAAATTGACACACTCGGCATTCTGAGCAAGAAGGCTGTGAGTTCAGGCTGCACTCCAAAACTGGAATATTTAATCAGAACAAGGCAGTTCTCAGGGGGGTCTATAGCCCCAGAAGTCTGCGGGATGCTTTTAAAGGATCCAGTAAAGATAACTGGAGAATGTGTAGAATGTGGGCAGTACACAAACCACCTACCCCATGTCACGCTAAACGCCACACAAACCCTTCACTTTAGTCAGCGCCCAATTACTTGGTTTTGCCACTAATTGCAGTTGTAAACCTTGCTATGTCCCTCGGGCAAGACTTAATCTGAAGCCTTATCACCAGCAGCATGTTTCACATTTCATTAAGTAGAACAAAATTAATAAACGTATGCTTTTAATTGTTACCAGAGAGAGGTGGGAGGTGATGGCCTAGTGGTATTATCACTGGACTGTTATTCCAGAGACGCAGATAGTGATCTGGAGCCCCAGGTTCAAATTCCCACCATGGTAGTTGGTGGAGTTTAAATTCAATCAATATCTGGAATTAAGAATCTAATGATGACTGTGAATCAATTGTCAGGAAAAATCCATCTGGTTCACTAATGTCCTTTAGGGAAGGAAACTGCCAGCCTTATCTGGTCTGGCCTACATGTGACTCCAGACCCAAAGCTATGGGGTTGACTCTCAACAGCCCTCTGGGCAATAAGGGATGGGCACTAAATGTTGGCCTAGCCAGCGACACCCTCATCCCATCAATGAATAAAGTGGGGGGGAAAAAAGCCCGAGTTTTAGAGGCAGTATGTGCAGTTTTTAAAACATGGGACAAAAAGAAAGTTGCTGGAAAAGCTCAGCAGGTCCAGCAGCATCTGCGAAGAAAAAAATCAAAGTCAACGCTTCAACCTGATAAAAGATAATCAAATCATGATAAGGAGCCTCTAGGTGATGGCAATCATAACGCAACAAAAATTCAGTATGAAGGGGAGCAATGTGTGTCTTAGACTAATGCTTCAGACTTGCTAAAGACAATTACAGATGTTTTCTAATCGACTCATTCAGAGGTGTTTACTACATGGCTCTGGAGTAGTGGAACTTGAACTCAGGTCTCCTCCAAGGTAGGGACACTGCCAATAAAGTTAGCATTAGTCATAGAATCATACACCGCAGATGCAAACACTTCGGTCCAACTTGTACACGCCGACCAAGTTTTCCAAACTAAATTAATTCCATTTGCCTGCAATTGGCCCATATCCCTTCAAACCTTTCCTATTCATGTACCTATCCAAATATCTCTCAAATATTGTAACTGTATATGCATCTACCACTTCCCAGGCAGTTCATTGCACATGTGAACCACCCTCTGTGTGAAAAAAATTGCCCCTCAGGACCCTTTTAAATATTCCTCCTCTTACCTTAAAATTATGCCCCCTAGTTTTGAACTCCCCAAGCCTAGGGAAAAGACTTTTGCTGTTCACCTTATCTATACCCCTCATGATTTTATAACCTCTATAAGGTCACCTCAACATCCTACGCTCTGGGGACAAAAGTCCCACTCTATCCAGCTTCTCCTTATAACTCAAACCCTCCAGTTGAGGTAACAGTCTTGAAAGTCTTTTCTGCACCCTCTCCAATTTAATAATATCCTTCCTGTAGCAGGGCGACCGGAGCTTGTAAACAGTGCTCCAAAAGTGACCTCACCAACATCTTGTGCATCCGCAAATTGAAGTCCTAATACCTATACTCAAAGGTCTGAGCGATGAAGGCAAGTGTTCTAAATGTCTTCTTTACCGATATGTTTACCTGTGACACAACTTCAAATGAACTAATTATCTGAACTTCCTGCCCTTGTTCGTGTTCGTCTTACCAAAATGCAACACTTCACATTTATCCAAATTGAACTCTATTTGCCTCTCTGGCCCATTGGCACAATTGATCAAGATCCCTTTGTAATCTTAGATCACCTTCCACACTGTCAACTGTACCACCAATTTTGGTGTCATCCACAAACTTACCAACCATATTTCCTATGTTCTCATTCAAGTCATTTATATAAATGACGAACAACAGTGGACCCAGCACCGATCCCTGCAGAGCACAGCTAGTGATAGGCCTCCAATCTGAAAAACAACCCTCCACCACCATTCTCTGTCTCCAACCATCAAGCCAGTTTTGTATCCAATTGACAAGCTGTCCCTGAATTGCATGTGATCTAACCTTACTAACCAATCTACCATGTGGAAACTTGTCATAGACCTTACTAAAGTCCTTGTAGACGAGGCCTACCGCTCTGCCCTCACTATTTTCTTGGTAACATCCTCAAAAAACTAAAATCAAGTTTGTGAGACATGATTTCCCACGCTCAAAGCTATGCTGACTGTTCTTAATTGGTCCTCGCCTCTCCAAATGCATATAAATCTCCCAGAATCCCCTCTAACCCCTGAAGAGAATAAATCTGGATAATCAATAGAAAGACGGAAATGGGAGAGGCATTGAATAAGTTATTTTTCATTTCAAACTTTCTAAAATATTTGAAAATCGGAAGGAAAACCAGGGGGAGGAATTTAAAACAGTCACCATCACTGGAGAAAATGTGCTAGGAAAACTGTTAAGACTGAAAGGTTGACAAGTACCCAGACTAGATAGCTTGAGTCTTTACAATAAGTGGCTGCAGAGTTAGTGGATACATTAGTTATAATCTTCCAAAATTCCTTAGATTGTGGAAGTGACCAAACTGATTGGACTGTAGCAAATGTAACACCTTTATTCAAGAAAGGAGGGAGACAGAAAGCTGGAAACTGTCAACCAGTAAAATTAACATTTGTCATAGGGGATTTGCTACGCTCCATTACTAAGGAAGTTTTAGTAGGTACATATGACTTTTGTAATGATTCCGGACCAGGTTGCCAAATTTTTTGCTGCAATCCTGGATGACATCACCAAATTATATTCCGATCTTGTTAAGGATCAATAACACTTAATTTTGAAGTGGACAGAAGATAGGATCTGGAGGACTTACTGTAGGTTAAAGCCATGAGGTTCCACAGTTTTGAACAAGCAATGTTTTACAAGTTTTTAGCGCAATAATACAATCTACAATGCATGTACAGCTTATTTCCAACTGGAATCAATGTTGTAAACTTGGGTATGCTATGATCAATCTCTCTGCACTAATTATCAAATGCCATCAAGACAGATTCTGCCAAGTGCTCATTACTCCCCCCCTCCCAGAAGTTAATGAAGCCGTCTCTAATGCAGCTGATGGGAATAGTGCGCCACTAAAAGTGGAGCACTCCTTTATTACTGCACTGAAGTCACCTTCAATTGTTGCAAGTTGCTGAACTGGGACTTGAACTGACCCCTTCTGATTTGGAGGTTTGCTGAGTATTATCACTGTATACCTAAACTAACCTAGCTTGGGTGAAATGGGCGTTAAGCTTGGCATTGTTAAATTTTAAGTTGTACTGGTATCCACAGTTGATAGATACCAAATGCTGGGCAATCTGCCCAATGTTGGCCAGCATTTCATCATCCAAAAGGATCTCCAAAAACATATCATTCATTTGTCCCAGTGCTGATTAGGAGATTCTGACGTACAAAGTAACTTGCACATTTATAGAACAGTCATACCATTGAAAAAAGAATAAAACACTTTTAAGATGTTTGAAAAATGCATTTGGTTCATAAACATAAGTTTTATAAATCCTTAGAGACAGTAAGGACTGCAGATGCTGGAAACTAGAGTCAGTAAATGTGAGGCTGGAAAAGCACAGCCGGTCAGACAGCATCCGAGGAGCAGGAATTTCAATGTTTCAGGCTGAAACCCTTCAGCAGGACTATTCTTATAAATCCCTTTGTTGCTACCACAAATGTGCAAAGCTCCCTACAACCACCAGATGGTGCACGACAGCACCATAGCACAAAGCAGGGAATCTGACATGAGTGTGCTTAAGGGTCCTGTACTTTTTTCCAAGTCAGCAGTGTTGGAAGTTGTAAAGACAAAAAATGTAGGAATAATGACAAGTCCTGTTGATCCATTGTATATTGGTTTATTTTGATTACAACCAATACCTTTTTAATTTGCTACTCTATATTTGTTTATTTTCAGTGACATTAAAAAAGACTTACATTTCTCCTTCCATGCCTACAGGATATCCCAAAGTTTGGTACTTTTGAAGCACTGTTACTGTTGTACAGTTTAAAATTAGGGGCTAAACTGAGCACAGCAAGTTTCAGAAACAGCAATGTGATAATGACCAAGTGACCTGCTTTTGAGATGTTATGTGAAGCACTAGACAGGATACCAGAGATGTGGGACTAGTTTGGTTTGGTAACACATTCAGCATGGACTAGTTGGACCAAAGGGTCCGTTTCCATGATATATGACTCTATGATAACTCCCCTCCTCTCCTGTCAAAGTGTGTTATTAGATCTTTTACATTAACTCAAAATGGCAGACACAGCCTTGTTTTAAAGTCCTAATCAAGAGACAACATCTTTAACTTTTTATAAAAAGTAACTCAACACAACCTTTCCTCATGTACATTAAAACTATTCCTTCAAACTGGTTAATTTTACAAACATGAACAGCTTCTCCCAATCTATTCTGTCCAGACCCCTCATGATTTTGAGAACTTCTATCAAATCATCTGTCAGACTTTAACTCTCCAATCTTTGCTTATAACTAAAAGTTTCTCATAAACCCATGTCTACATTGAGGAGAGGTGATGGTCTAATGGTACTATTGCTAGACTGTTAATCCAGACACCCAGGTAATGTTCTGGAGACCTGGGTTTGAATCCTGCTGTGGCAGATGATGGAATTTGAACTAAGTATTTTTTTAAAATCTTGAATTAAGAGTCTAATGAT